AAATGTCTGCCAGCTGTACGATAAGACACATCAACATCACGGTTATTAAGTTTAGTGGCAAGAGAACGTAATGATATTGTATTGTCATGACAAATGGATTGGCCAATAGTTTTTGCTATATTGACTGTTATTTTTTTTGGATGACCATTACCACCTCTATACTTCAAAGTGCTGCTTTTAACATTATATCGTACAGTAGAGACAGGTAACTGGGTAAGTTTGGATAGTTCAGGTACAGAATGGATGTCTTCGTTCCAATAATGTAATAAGCTGTGCATCTTTTGTTCGCGAGTAATTGGTGACATTTTGATAGCGAATTTTGCGAGAGTTTACTTATGAAGATTATTATTTAACAAAGTGTAGTAAATAAAACTGTTATTTAACTTTAATTCGGCATAGATTAAGCTGTTTATTTATTGTCTAATGTGATCGGCAAATAGTTAAGTTTTTTTGTCACACACTGTGAATTACCCGTACCAATTTAATTAAATAGAATGGCCTTAAACATTTTTTATTAGCATTTCGCTATTAATATTTTGATATGGTGCCGGAAATTATAACTCAACCAATCACATGTCAGTTTTTCGATTTTCTGGTGGCGATCCAAAGTCACGTTTATTTTTAATCGACCAATAAAAACTATGAAATTTTAAATTATGTGTACATGTATATGTACACGTATAATGCATTTTATGTAGTAACAAAGTGAAACAGAAAAAAAATGACAGATCATGTGACTTCTGATCACATTCTGTCTTTCCAGAGTTCCGTCCATGTAGATCTCCTTTTTTGGATTTAGTTTAATAGGTAATATTTATATTTGATATTACATGTATTAGTTTAATTAAATTGTTACTAACATTCGGAAGAAAAAACACAATACTTTTCACACTAACATATAAACCGTGAGACATCAGCATTCAACGCAACCAAAAAGCCAATCATCGACCTCTGGAGCACTGCATGGTATGTTGCTGAGTCCTTGCATTAAGAACTTCATAACATCTGTCAATTTCTTGTGCAAGTGACTCGGTCATTCTTTCGAATTCTTGTACGAATCTATCATTTTCCACATTTTCTTCCAACAAAGATGTGCCTAACTCAAATATCCACCTAATCCTATTTATTGCATCTCTATTTTGTTTAGAGCCTTAACGTCAATTAATGGTGATATGAGAATTACTTGTAGACACCATGGGTGTGCTGATAGTTTGCGTGTACCTATTCCAAGAATCGTTGTGTATGCTGATTTGTTGATGGCAATCCATATCAAAGGAGATAAATGGATAATCATACTGGCACTTTGTGAAGGCAAAGCAAGGAAAGAAATCTGGCGCTGAACTGGTTTTCTTCGCAACAAGATGCTTGCACATCGGAAAGTGATTATTTAGAAATGCGGGACATGAACATATCCAAGTTTCTAGATATGTATTATATCTTTCTTCCTCACTGATTGATCTTTGGCTAAGCTC